TGTTGTCATCCACAGTGAAATGGCCGTTCATAAACCAACGTGTCTTATGTTGTGATTATGCCAGTATCTATCTGCCCGATTGGATTAAAGTCAACCATGATTCCAGTGATGATGAGCCAGTTGTGTGCAGGAGTCTCTTAGAATTAAAGGTAATTGTTAAACTAACTTGCACCGATAAAGGGCTTTCAGGTTTAAATCTACAACATGAATATTATTATTCTCCGTGTAAATAACCTGTGCTGTCACTTGGTTGATCAAATATTTTATGTGCTTAAAAGTCATATATCTTCCACGATACTATGTGATGGGCATGTCACCATCGAGAGTTAGAGATATATACGGTATTGGGAGGCCAGCGAATGGACTCTATGACCACTTTGTAACTTAGGATCGTCAATCTGGGAGGGGTTGCAGGCGTGCTACGACAAGTCCTGCAATTCTCCAGGGGTAGTACATCAAGGCGTGACCCACAAAATTACTTGTACTACCTGCATGTGCGCACGAGCGAAGTGTGTATAAAACAACCTGCTACATGGAGTTACTTCTCTCACTTATATTGATATACATGCCCACCAATTGCATGTGAGCTTTACCTAGTGTACGTATTCCGTGAAACACCTATACGTGTTCATAGTGTCGGGACCAAACGAATAACCACAGTGTTTTTATATGTCGTAATTCATGAATTCTGATAAATTTTCACTGTCTGATTCTGAAGTTGTTTCGAATCTTCTCAATTTATATCGGGATTATATGACGATGAAGCTGAAGCAATCAAATCAACAAGGAGGGTTATACCAAAATGGGCTTGAGCTGAAAGTGGGATGATTTAGAGGGAGCACATGGGCAAGGTTTTTTGTCCTATGGCTATCATTAATCTAAATATGTTCCCATTTAGGGTGAAGGTCTGTTACTCTAGGAAGTTAGAAGTTTGCTGGCATGTGTCAATATCATTCCAATCTACACGGAGTGAGTGACATAAGATGACAGTGATTGCTGGTACTGGACAAACAAGAGGTAGTCGTGTGGAGAGTTTCAAGCTATAACTCTGTGGATGTCATTCTTGCATCTACGAGATTCTTTGGGGTAATCTACTTTCGTGTTGCAAAGTGTTAAGATAACTCTGTATTGAAGAGTTATTCCGGTGACGTGCGATAGCTAAGACCATTGTTTTTATTGTTGTCGTGGTTGTCGGATGGTAAGAATGTGCGCCAGTTTGATGAATGTATGTTTTTTGTCTGCTTGCCCCCTTTGCTTTACCTTCCATTTCAGCTTTGTCCTTGGTGGCCTAGGTCCTCCCACTGTTAACTTATATTGGTCATTGTTGAAAAAAAGGATGGGCCCCTTTTCGCGTAGATATGGCCAAACAGGCCCCACTAGCATTTCCCGCCTTTCCCTAGCAAAGGTGAGAGATGTATGCCAAAATTTTCCCCTGTCAAATAATTTGCTCCCAATGACACTTCGAGTCTGACTAGTGAACATTCTGTACGGACTAGAGCTACCATCTAGGTACATAATATCAACCTTAAGAATGCACACATTATCAACACTAGATATCAGGGATGACGCCAGAAAACCAGCATCCTTCACGTACTGATATTATTATTCCTTTAAGTCTGCCTTCTCGTGCCTCTTATCCTATCAGCCTTCTTGCCAGATTCAGTGTCCAGTTAGAAGTTGAGCTGTCTCAAATGCCCCTCGAATTCCAACCTTCTTACTAGTTTATCCCTTTGTACTGAATCAGGCTTAAGAGGCTTATCATAACTACAACTAAATGAATCATGCAAACCTATATCAACATTGCCAGCAATTATTTCAGTACGAACGTCATCAGCAAAAGATTGAGGTAAAGCAAAATAGTCCCGCATGAGTCTGCATTTCTTGCTGCTATTTAAATGTCGTTCCGAAAAGTACTTAAATTCAAATTCCCCAGTCATTTTTTTAACCAGAGTACACAGGAATAGCCAAAATTCGTAAGGTACTCCATGAGACACGTACAGTTGAGAGCTTAATTCTAATAATATCAAAATGTGATTCAACGTTTATAAATTTCTGATACCGTTTCAACAACCAGTCTTATGAAAAAAGCGGAAACACCTCAAAGACCTTATTGGCTGGCTATACAGTTCAAGTATTTTTATAGTTGAAAATGTACACTATACACCTTAAGTTCAACTAAGCGAAGCGTAGACAGTGGGGAAATAATGTCTTTATCAACATTTCACACTCACATAGTGTGACAGTGAAGCATTACGAATAAGATTCAACCAAAAACAAAATTAAATAATAAGGATGAAGTCGAATTCGTGATTTATGTCAAATGTAACCCCTGTCCAAATCCCGCTATACTGAAACTGAATGCGCGACATCTGCATTAGTTTTTACGAAGCGGGTCAGACAAAAATCTAGTGTGTCCGGATCATGGAGGCGGCAATTCCAAAAAAGGTAGCGAGTAAGCAACAACAGCCTACCTCCTTTTTTCACATAGACTCTAATGATGGTGATTATTATTATTGATTAAGTTTTTCAACCGTCATCTGTGCTTCTTATTCATGGAGCGCTTGATTCCCAGTTTTATGAATTGTACATTACACGTCTTCCCTGGAATCCCGAAGAATCAAAAGTTAAAAAAATGGATGGGTATAGAATTGAAGAACTGGTAGATGCTACGGCTTCGTGTTCGAAAATGGATATGAACGTGAACGTTTACCTTCCTCAGGCTCACCATAATGCTGAATTAAATCTCGCTAATTCTGAACTAACTCTAACATTCTATAATGAGTAAATTCTTCAGATTTTCTCAAATGGTTTGATTAGGCGCACAGACTACAACTCAGTGATGGTTTTCAGCATGAATGGCACTAATTCAGCACCCTGTGCTTTTCCTAGGCATTTTCAAAAGTAGCTCAGAACCTGCTGGATTCGCTAGTCAACGTTATTTCAGTCCTCTCAGCCCAGATTCAGCAGTGAGTGGCATTACTTCAGAACAAAATGACTTAGTTCAGGGCATAGTGGCAATTTTCTCAGCTTCATTTCAGCATTAGAAGCAGAATATCAACTGCAAGTTTTATTTTTAGGGTTTCGTTGCACTAATTAAGCGTCCAGTGCCCTTTTTAAGGATGACTAGAGTTACTTCTTCACATAGTGGGTTTATTTTAGGTAGATATAATATTCATTTACCATAAAAAGGCATTATCGACGCATATGTAAGTACTAGTTTAGAATTATTGTATGCTTGGGATTTCTGTACAAAAACAGTTTGCATCTTGTTTTGACCTTGGTAGAATACAACTAAACCTCTTCATGTGCTTTATGTAGCAGCAAACGACGACATAATCAATGATTGTTCCCATTAAAGACAACATGATCCTATTATCCACGTTTTGTTGTAGGATTTTATTCTAGAGTTTTGATATCCGATTGATATATAAAACCTAACGTACAGAGTTGTCCGTGTTTTCATACCTGAAGTTAACTCCTTTGACGGTTGCAGCAGAAATAAGTATAACATCTGAACTGAAAACATGTTTCAGGATTTTACGGAACATTGCTACATATGGATCTGAATGTAAGCGGTTAAGTGTTTAATTCACTTCCTGTAGGAAGCCAACCTTTCAACCTTGGCAGGCTAGTTCCGCGTTTCATTCAAGCTGTTCGCGACAAGGAAATTACTTCGTCGAAGTTTTGTCGGCGTTCTATGAGTGTTTTTATCTGTATCGGGATGGTAAGTTTCCCTGACCTCTGTGGCTACTAAAGTTGTTATATTTTGGTGTTGCTCTCTAGATGGACAACTCGTTGCTTTTGAAATCTTGGTTGCTGTCCCTTTAATACACCACTGTTACGAAAGACCTTCGCTACAATTGCTGCACATCTCAACCACATTAGTCAAGTTTATTAGAAGGTACGTTCCTTTGTATTATCCTGCATTAGTCCTCATTTAAAATTCGTGTCTGTGTCTATCCAAACAAAACACTTGAATGTTTTGAGAATTATGGTTGAAACTGATCGTTCTCATATAAGTAGAACACTATTACTTTGATTTTTGAAATTCATAGTGTATTTCTATAAACTGTCTTATGGCCAAGATTATTATTCATGTCAGCCCACCACCTGCCTTCTTGTCGTAACATATTTGTAAATGTTGATTATCATAAATGTATGAAATATACGTGTGTGTGTATGTGTGTGAAGAAAACAAGCATTCGCACAGATTAATGCCTTTGCAAATAGTTTGGATTTTGGTTTAGACAAGAATTTTAGGTATTCCCAACACTGCACCTAATCGTTTTACAAGTAAATGCTTACAGATTTTCGCTATTTTACGTACGTGGTAGTTCTACAAAAACGTGCAATTGATCCAAGTTAAAGCCTTCGTGGGTCTGATGTTTAGCGGGCAGAATAAGGGAGTACGAGAAGTGCAGTCAAGCGTTAGCGCAGAACCAAACACCTCGCCTATTTATACACAACATAGTTTGACAGAAGCATAAATAAAAGTTTTGTATCCCCGTTGAAATTCCATCAGCCAATAGTTCAGTGTTGCTAAACGACTAGCATACATCCAGATGCGGGACGAATTTATAATGCTCTCAAACCATTACTCGGTGTTTATAATTTTGAATTCATGCCAATTAATGTCGTCATTTTTTTGCTGAAAATAGTTCTTGTCGAATATACCACTGCAGTTCGTTTGAAACTAAGAAAAGGATTAAAATATTATTCTTGAATCAACAGATAGTGTTTCGCCCATCGGAACTCAATTTCTTGAATTATAGCTTGTCTATATTTATTGTGACCTATTTTTATCTTGCCCCATCTGTTGGTGTCATTCAGTCACTAATGAATCCAAAAATACGTAAATCGCAAATCTCGGGTGGGTTTGTTACATGCTCGGCTGAATGATCGTCAATGTATATGCGAATGCATATGATTAGAAAGAAATAGCTTTAGTTATCCATCAAACAGTCCCAAGTTTCTTAAACTTGTTATTTTGTGGTCAACAAATGAGCTATATTTTTACCGATGGTCATGATTTTCTGAATAGATTAAAGAAAACAGACGCTTCTCAGCGTTACCCAGCCCGCAATACGTAAGTAATAGGGAGAAATTAAAAGGCACACAACTGTTACATTTGAATATACCGTAGCATCTTAGTGTTTAAAGTTTCACTCTTAAGAAGTGTTATTTGAATTACCCAATTGATTTGTCATAATTTTCGTTAGATAGATATTGTGGTAGGCAAATGGAACAACATTCTCTGGAACTAGAAAGACGTAGGTAATACAGAAGTATGCTTTTTATCTCTAAGTCACATGCCTCTTTAGACTGGATCCCTGTGTCCGACTTCATAATCCCCTCTTGACTAACAATTGTACTTATTAAATATGAGGAGAAATCAACTGGTGGGAAGTCATGTACTGACTTTTGTCTATCAGTACCCATCAATAGGATATATCCAAGCTGTTGTTAAATATGTTTTAATCCGTTTTTTTTAAAATTACATCCATTTATTCAGCCACGTTGTCAAATTATCAATTTCCAGGAAATGAATAAGAAAGCCACTTGTATGTTTAAAATGTGTGTAGTAGTGTGGAAATGGACTGTTCTATCAATATTAGAAAAACTGTTGATAACTGGGAATCTTATGTTGTATTAAACATAATGCGGCTCAGCAAACACTCACTTTCACATTTTAGGCTATAAGCTTTTATGGCTTACAATATTACTTGGCTGCCTAGATGCATGGTGCTAGTTATTTTGAAAAGACATTCAACAAGTTGAGAGGGGGCGCCCAAGTAAACAATCTGCAAGCCTATTATTCCATACCAGTATATACAAGTACATATATTTGGAAACTAAACGTTTCCTTTAGCCACAAAACTACATTAAATAACTTCATTCAGCTTGTTGTAGTTAAACACCACGAATTCTTCTTCAGGTTTCTTTACTGCTTCGTTCACACAAGGTCTTAACGGAAGAAAATAGTGTAGTATAAACTTCATTAGCTGTGATTGTAAACATTGTATTTCATTATTATTATTATTATTATTATTATTATTGTATCCTTTAATTCCTAGAGGATCATAGGGCTTCAGCCGTGCGTCTCCATTGCGTTCTGTTCTCTGCTAGAGTCTTCACCTGGCTCCATGTCTGCCCATACGTTTTCATCTCCTCTTCACATGACCTCCTCCAAGTCACCCTTGCACTGACGACCAACTCGCCGCTTCCCTTTCGGGTTCCACTCGAGTAATGGCTTGTCTAGTGATGTCACTTGATGGTTTCCTCAGAGTATGGCCAATCCATCTCCATTTCTTCCTGCCTATTTGTTTCACAATCGGTTCCTAGTTGGTTCGCTCCCAAAGATCCCTGTTGCTGATCTTTTCTGGCCATCTGATCTTGAGTATTGAGCGAAGACAACTAGCTGTTGATGAAGGTCTGTAGTTTGTTTGAGATGCTCTTTATGACGCGCTGTCCAAGTCTCTGATCCGTACAGTGAGTAGCACTGACTTCACATTGGAGTTGGAAATCCGGATCTTATTTTTGATGCTGAGTGTTGTTGACCTCCACACAGACTTGAGAGTAGTGAAAACTTGTCTTGCTCTTCCGATTCCTGCTTTGATATCCTCGTCAGTTCCGCCTGTAGTTGAAACGATGCTTCCCAGGTAGGTAAAAGAGGTTGTTCCTTTCAGGTTCCTCCCATTTATGCTGATCGTTGTCTGCTGTTGTTGGTGTTGCCCAGGAATCTTCATTACCTCTGTTTTATCTATGTTCACCTGAATTCCTATCTTCCCTGGATGCTTCTTCTGCCAACTTGTTGCTTTTCGCTTGCATATCTTCCAGTTTGTGGGAAATCAGACATATATCATCAGCAAAGTCCAGATCCTCCAAGTTTTTTGTGTGAGTCCATTTTATGCCTGTTTCCTCATTGCCCGCTGTCTGTCGCATTATCCAATCTACTGCAATCAGGAAAATCATTGCAGATAGCAGACAGCCAGCTTGTCTTACTCCCGTCTTCACTTCGAAGGATTCCGTGAGTTTCCCGTTGTGAATTACTTCGCATGAAGCATTGTCGAACAGCTGTTGGATGAGATGTATAATTGTCGGTGGCACCCCATAGTGGCGAAATAGTTGCTAAATCACCTTTCGATCGACGCTGTCAAAAGCCTTTCCAAAGTCGATGAAGTTGAGATAGAGAGGTGACTGCCATCCCAAGCTTTGTTCAATGATGATCCGTAATGTGGCGATCTGATCAATGCATGACTTGTTTCTCCTGAATCCAGCCTGTTCCGGTCGAAGTTTTTCATCTAGGGCTTTTTTGATTCTCTCCAGGATGATGCGGCTTAGTATTTCGCTTGGGATGGACAGGAGCATAATTCCGCGCCAGTTCTTGCATTGACTTAAGTCTCCTTTCTTTAGTAGTTTGAATAAGTATCCTTTCTTCCAATCCTCAGGTACTTTGCCTTCCTTCCACACCTCCAGTAGTGGCGTCATCAAGTCCAATGTTGTCTCTGGGTCCATTTTCAATGCTTCTGCTGGGATTCTATCTGGTCCTGCTGCTTTTCCAGCTTTTAGCATCTTGATTGCCTTCAGGAATTCTGATTTCGTCGGGCGGTCGGTGTTCACTGGTAGCTCTGTCTCCGTTGTTGTTATTGTTGGGCGCGTCGTAGGTGGTGGTCGATTTAGGAGTCTTTTGAAGTTTCCTTCGCTCCACTTCTTTGGTGATTGACTTTCCGTTGTCATCTTTCACCGGCTTGATTTGTGTCAAACTTTTGCCCGATAAGTACCTAGTAGTTTGGTAGAGTGTTGCGAGGTCTCCTTTGCCTGCAGCTTGTCTTGCTTCACTTGCCATGGCTTCATAATACTTTCTTTTGTCTTCCCTGGCACTCTTCTTTACTCTTTTGTTCAGTGTCTTGTAGTTTGCATTCAAATCCTGTTTTTGTTGCTCTTCAGTGCACTGGAGAATCTTTTGTTTCACCATCCTTCCTTCTTCTACCAGTCTCCAAGTGTCCGTAGTGAGCCATTGTTTGTCCTGTCTCTTCTTTCTGCCTAGAACTTCCGTGCAGGTTTGACTCCACACTGTTTTCAGGTTGTTCCAGTGCTTTTCGACGCTGACCTCTTCGCAAGTGTTGATTTGTGTCTCGGCTTTGTCATTTATGCTTGCAGTGAAGATGTCCTTTGTGTCCTGGTCCTTCAGTTTTTGAGTGTTGAACTTGGCTTGTGGTCTATCTGCAGCTCCTGATTCTCTGTAAGCTTTTAATTTGATTTGGAGTGTCCCTTGTACGAGATAGTGGTCTGAGCCAACGTCTGCTCCTCTTCTTACTTTTGTGTCTAGCAGGCTGCGCCTCCACTTCCTTGAGATTGAGATGAAGTCGATTTGGGTTTTGGTTCGCCCATCTGGTGACACCCATGTAGCCTTGTGGATATCTTTGTGTTTGTATACGCTGCCACCAATCACTAGTTCATTGAAGGCGCAGAAGTCGGCGAAGAGTTCTCCGTTTTCATTCATTTCTCCAAGAGCTTCTCTACCCATGATGAGTTCCCTTCCTGTGTTGTCTGATCCCAGTTTGGCGTTCATGTCTCCCATTAGTATTTTAATGTCACCAGCTGGAGTATTGTCCATTGTTGCCTGTAGTTGTCTGTAGAACTCTTCTTTCTTTTCGAGGTCTGCGTTGTTTGTCGGTGCATAGCATTGTATAATTGACACTTTCCTTCCTTTGGAGTTGAATCTGGCGGTTATTATCCTGGGCGAGATCGCCTCCCATTGCATCAGGGCCTTCGTTGCCGTTGGTGACATCATGATAGCCACGCCCTCGGTGTGCGAGTGGTTATCTTCTGGGTGACCGGAGTAGATTACTGACTCACCCGTTGACAATTTGGTGAGTCCATTCCCGTTCCATCTGCTTTCACATATTCCCAGTACTTGAATTCTGTATCTTTTCATTTCGTTTGCGATCTGGGCAGCTTTGCCAATCTCATACATGGTGCGGACATTCCATGTCCCCACACAAACTTTTTCTTTTGGCTCAAGGAGATTCATCGTGCTGAAGTTTCTGTAGCAGCTTTGTTTACAGGGTGGGGTTGCTAGCCTCACGCCTGAGAAGGGGGGTTGTTACATTAATTTATAATTTAGAGAGAAGCGACCTTGTGGGTTGCTCCCCTTAAAACCAGGAAAACAGGGAATAAAACAAGCAGAACAACACCAGCACGGGAAAATAATTCACAACAAGAAGGGTAACAAGCGACAACAACAATAATAATATCACAGTCAATTACAGTTAACCAAAATGATACCAAAATCATAGACTCACTGACTTGAGCCAACTTGAACATGTAAATCCATCAAATATATACAATTATAGGTATTAGTTAGTGTTAAACAAGCACAGAGTGGCAAATAGATAGTTATAGGTATAATTGATAAACAATATTATATCCAAAGATTCAGTGTTTCAAAGGCAAATAATTGCAATAGTTTTTTGCAACTTTTTGGCAAGATATTCCACAAAAATCAGAGTTTTAGGTAACTATGTAAATGTAGCGCAGTAATCGAAAAGTGTTATTTAAAATTCTAAGTTATGTAAAAGGAGTATTCATTCGTCTACTTCTGTAAAATATTTGTTGCGGAAACAAATTGAACACTTATAATGTACAGTTCTTATAGAGCATATATGAAGATTTAACTCCACAAAGTAATACAGTCCTATATAATTACTGCGAGGATGTATCAAAACTAATAAAAAGTAGTTGTAATTCCCAGTCAACTTCTGTTTATAGCACATGTATTCCACTGAGTTTGTAGATTAGACAAATTGTATGTGAAGTTGTAAATCACATACATGAATATGACTTAAGTAGTAAAGTAACACGTGCATCGAAGTATTTTGTTCGGTAAAACCACTATTTTTTATTTTTATTTTAATGCTTTGAATTCCTTACAGAGACGTGGGTCCCATGAATCATCATAGGACATGGTTCCCCTAACTCCATCTTTTATTGCAAATATAAATTCTGTACGATTCTAGAAACTAAATGTACATTACGATCCATAAAATGACATACACCTGTCAACTTTCTCTTAAGTCATTAGAC